TCCATAACAGCAAATGAACTGTACAACAGAAAATACAAATGCTATTTATGGTCTCCTCACAACAATGATAAGAGAAATAAACTGGGCCAATATGGCATGTTTGTTAATATTCAACCCTCTACTAACTAACCTTATGAATTAAATAAAGTTCACTATCAGTAACATCATAGCACTCACCCAGCTGTATAGACACTCCATCATGCTAGCTAGTACACAGTACGAGTTATTGTAACTGACTGTAAAAAGTCAGCACAACGAAAATAAACTGCACCTAAACTTGGTTTATATCTGACCCAGATAGACTGCAGGTCATAACTTCTTACCTGAAGTTCAGTTCACCTGACACTCGGACCAGCGGCAGCCTCGGGTCTCTCCTCTTGCCTCCCCTTTCTCTCATCCACCTGCTGGCATCCAACACTTATTATTGTTACTGAATCTGTGGAGGCTCCGCCATAGCCACCACCAAACAACTGAGTTAGGGTTTTTTTGTTGTTGTTGGGTTTGTTTGTTTTTTTGGGTGTTTTTTTTTTGTTTTGTTTTTTAAACACACCGACCAGCATCTGGCCAATCCACCACCTTTCATTGTTTGTACCGTTACAAAAAAATAAAATAAAAATAAAATAAATCATCGGGCCACTGGTATGCCCTACGGCCAGTCCAGCTATGGTCGTGCCATCACTTAACCCTTCGCAGGGTTGCCAACCCCTGCTCTACACCCTTCCAACCCTAAAAGAAAAATCTACATATTTTCATGCATTTCCTGCACCATTCATTTTTTTATTCATTTTCTTTTTTACATCCGTTTGCAAATAGAACCAACATTTTACAAAATATTTTAACTGGGGCATTTCCCCAGTTATCATCCATCCACGCTGCAGGTCTTGCAAGTCCAGACTGCTGTTCAAAGGTCCAGTTCCAACACCCACCTACTCTATCTGATGGCATGGTCAGTGTAAGCTAAATATGATGTGTGAGGTGCAAAATTTTATGATTGTTAATAATACTGTGGACTTGTAGCAGGGAAAAGTACCTTATCAGTGATGTCAGCTCATCAAATATGTAAACTTGTCTCCAACTGTTTATGGTCTATTACAGTTTGCAACATATATACATTAAGTTTTTGACTCTTTAAGACATCCTGTGTGGTTCCCTCAAGCAAAATCTGCATACTGAGCTTAAAAAACCCTTGACCTTAAGACTTGTATACAGTGAGAGCCAGATCGAAAGATTTCTTAAGGTGGATTTTGCAACTGGAGCCCTGTGAACTTAAGGTGTCCTTATAAATTGTATCCCTGCTTATAAATGTTGATCAGAATGCCTTAAACCGCTCCATTGCAGTCTAACCTCATAGAAAATGATTGACTTTTTTGTCTGAACTGTTAATCAGTCTGTGTAACAGGGTTCTAGTTAGTGCAGCAAGCTGTGGCGAAGAAAGTTACTGACAAGAAACTCCAGAAAATAAATGCCTTCTCTGGAATTCATCTTCAAGCTTTGCTCAAATGCCTCCATTACTGCCAGAACCGACTCTGATGAGCAAAATACAAACGACAAAAAACGGTCGACAAGGAAACTCTAAAACAGAAGCCCTTATTCTTGTGTACACTTTTGGTATTTATTATCTCACCTTTTCAGCCGTTTTCTCTTTAAAATAATTTTGATCCTTTTGATTTTTATCTCTAAAACTTAAGGATGACAGAATTATTGTAGTTGCAAAAAGCACTTCCAACAAACAGTAGGCTCTAGTCTGTATGCGTTAGGGTGTAATTCGCAGTTATGTTTGACATTATTTACACATACGGTATGCTTTGTCGCCAACAATGAGCGTTTGGTATCCAGTAACCTGTGCAAACTGTTCTTGTGAGTGTGTGTATGGTACAATCAAGACAGCTTTCAGATGTACAGTTGTTTGGGATGGTAACTACAATGGCTTAAGGTCCATGTGATCGAGGGAGGAGGGAAGAGCTGAAGACTCCCCCCTGCCTCCCTGCCTGGCAGCGGTAGTGCAGGTCAAAGTTCAAAAGGTCAAAAAGTAAAAATGGGCGGTGGGTTTCCATTCTTAAAGTAGGAGGTCATCAGTTCATCTGTCAGGTGGCCAGTGCGATTGTGCCACCTCCTCACCTGATGGTGCCACTTGCTTTCTGCATTAGAAGGGATGTCACTGCAAAACCAATCCCACCTGGAAAAGAAGCAACGGAGCCGTTACCAAAACAGTCACAAATGTAGCTTGGGTTTGTGCAGGAGTCACTATGGCACATGTAAGGCATCTGTAGTAGTACTGCATGAGACTGGCAAAAAGGATGAAAATGTAACAGAAAAGCTAGATGCATGACAAAGACATGAACAATTAGCCTTTAAAAAAAATAAAATAAATGATGCCACAAACAAAACTGCGATACAAGTGTGAATCCAACTGCAGTGACAAGTTAAACAGTCTCTTGCATGAACAACCATAAAAAGCAAATACTTATGTGAGCAGCACACAATGATACAAGAACAATTTATACCCAAAATTATTGCAGACAATTATATCTTTTAGTAAATTCACCTGAAACATTAAAACTCCCTTAAGATAGTTTCATATATGCGCTACAGCAGGTGCCCATATGACAGGAATGCAGCAGCCCACATTTGCCAACCTGCAGCACTTATCTTCTCCTGCACTCCATCCCCCATTTCCTGTCTACTCTTCACTGCAAACCGGTCACTAAAAAGGCAAAAAGCCCAAAATGAAATCTTTTAAAAGAAACAAGTTATTTCAGAAACGCACCTTTTCCGGCCCCATGCTGGGACACTTCCAATTGTACAGGTAATACTGTAGATTCCCATCCCCGATGCCAAACTTAAGCTTTTCCAAGAAAGTCTTGTTTTCCATTAGATCCAGTGCATTAAAGACATCAAACCCTTTCTGAGTAAAGAAACAGGAAAAATTATTAGGTTTTTGCAAGTAAACATTTCAGAGAACATGTTTTTAAAGATTGAACATGCACCGATTTGGCCAAGATGAGGGCATCGGACATCAGGTCGAGCAGGGGGGTGGTGGTGTGCACATTGTAGAAGGAGTATGCTGCTTTTAGACTGCGGTGCACAGGATGATTCATAATGGTAGAGGGCAGAGTGTAGAAACTCAGGAAGTCTGTCACTTTGCCATCATTCTGTAATGACAACAAAGTATCCCTTAGTTACTTGGAGAGAATTTTAAAGGTTTTTTTTTTCCCTCAAAGATTTTTTCTGGATTCTTTACCTCCACCACGTAAGTGTCGATAATATTCTCTTGGGGCAGCAACCAGTGTTCCACCTCTTCCGGATTCATGACTGGCACCAGGTTGAACTGGCTCAGATATTCACGGAGGAGGCGATGCACCACGGGCACGTCCTTCTTGGTCATTGGCCGCAGACCAGAAGTCTTTGGGGCCTGAAAGAGAGATGACAAGGATGAATACATTAAAAGACATGCTGGAAGAAAGAGGTGATTTCTAAAGTGACTGAAAATTTAAGTGTTAATCGCCAACAACCTCTGGCAAGCGGTACAACTTCATGGTCCGCTGCATAGTCATGTTCCTGCTCAGATGGGAAAACTTCACTTCAATTAGTTTTCGAGGGTTCAAAGAGCGATGCCAGTACCTGCACGAAGGAAACGTCATTAAGTACCAATTGATGCAGTGAATTAAATCTAACCCCAGGGCTTGGGGTTAGAAAATATCCCTGTCACACCCACCTGCATGTGCCCACAGGTTTGGGTAGTACCACTCCAGCAGTATACACTGCCTGAAAGATTCCCTGCAGGTTGACCCGTCTGGTGATCTCTCTGATCAGAACTGGAGCGACTCGTTTGGAGCGAAGCTTCTTGTGGACGCAGAGGAAATTAATCTCAACCATTTTCTTCTCTCTAAAGCAGAAAAAAATAAAACAATCATGAGACATTTATTTATTTGAATAACACACCGAATACAATCTATTAGAAATACTAGTCATAGGCCAGTAATAGAAAAAAAACAAAAAACATGTTCCATTGGGAAGTAAATAATGGACGGAGGATAACACTGACTCTTCCCCCCGCCCGCCAAACTATTCTGTTTACTTACATGTCATAGATGTGGATGGTGGCAGGAATGGCACTGATAAAGCCAACCAGCTTCTGGTTGGAGTTAACCCTCACTCCACAGTGCCACTGAGGCAACCAGCCAGGAGGTCGCAGGGCCCTGAGGAGGACATGGTCAGTCAAAAATGCCACACATTTCTGTGCACTTGTATTAATATTTGAACAATATTTAAATATAAGAAATTACCAGAGCAGGAACTCAGGAGAATAGTCAAATCGGAACATGTTATCATCATCTTCAACATAGTTCTCGTTGAGAAGGGTGTAAAGCTCCTTGAGCTGGTTGTAGAGAGAAGAAAAGAATAAGAGACAGAGTCATCTTAAAAAGTCAAGAGCACCAAATTAAAAAACAAAACCACATTTCTACAATGAGCATTTGACAAAAGGACAAAGTTTCTAATTGGACTGCTACTACACTCTGACCAAACAACAAGCACTTCAGCATAAACAGTCACATAATTACTGAGAGGACAAACTTGGAATTAAAAAAAAATTGGAATTAAAAAATACACTAGTTTCTTAACAAAATGTAGTGCAAAGCACCACGAGTCCAGGACTTTGTTACTGAAAGACGAATTCCTCCTGTGCGTGCTTGCTGTGAGTGTTTGTGTTTATATGCTTTCTTACCACAGCGGGGTTCCCCAGGTCGAGGGTGTCCCAGCTGAAGCCCTGCGGGAGGCTGTAGGGCTCTTCTCGAATGTTGTCTTTGTCAGGTTCAATGGAGCCGTGTGATGTCACCGTCTCCCCTGAAGGAAAAGTAAACAGAAGTCTGACAAAGCACAAAAACCTGCAAATTACACATATACACTCTTTTAGACCGTCACTCTTAGAAGACCAGAAAGCAATGGCACATATCCACTGGCCACCTCATTAGGTACACATCCCCAACATTTATGCAAATCTCTCATCAGCCCTTTACCTGACAGCAACTCTGTGCATGTAGGCAGGTAGACACTGATAAGATGTCCTGCTGAATTTCAAACCAAGCATCAAAATGGGGAGGAAAGGCAATTTAGGTGACTATGACTGTAGCATGGTTGTTGGTGCTGGATGGATTGGTCTGAATATTTCAGAAACTGCTGATCTACTACTGATTATCCCCACAACCATCTCCAGGACTTATCCAGTGAGTTATTTGGGAGAAAACGCTTTGATGATGTCAAAGGAGCATAGAGCCAGACTCCTTTGAGCTGATAGAAAAGCACCAGGACCTCAATTAACTACTTGTTACAACAAAACTATGCAGCAGAGCATTTCTAAACGCACAACAGTCAAACCTTCAAGCAGACTACAGTGGGTGCCACTCCTGTCAGCTACAAACAGGAGACTGTGACTAAAATTCAGCTTACCAAAACTGTAGAACAGAAGACAGGAAAAATACTGCCTGGTTTGATGAGTGCTAATTTCTGCTGTGACATTCGGATGGTAGGGTCAGAGTTTGGCATAGATTTATGTTGCCAACAGCTCAGGACACTGGCAGTGAAGCAATAGTGTGGGGAAAGCTTCCTTGGTCACATTGGGCCCCTCAGAATAAAACAACATTTAAACACCACAGCCTACCTGAGTACTGTTGCTGACAATGTGATTCCCTTTATGACCATAGTGTACCCATCTTCTGATGGCTGTTTCCAGTAGGCTACAATGTCATATAATAAAGGTCAAGTAATCTCAAACTGGATACTTGAACATGAAATGAGGTGAGTGTACTCAAATGGCCTCCCGATTCACCAGATTGCAAACAAAAAGAGCACATCTGCAGTATATTGAAATGGGAGAAATAGATGTGCAGCTTCCTCATAACCATGCATAATCATCAATTCCTTTCCAGGCACATTTCACCAACAGATTGCAAAATAATGCTGTTGTACCGAGCTTTTGCATACTTGAGTCATAAGCACAAGCCTTTTTTCCCTTCTGTTCACTCTGTGTTAACTGACCATCTGTGTAAGCCCACTTTTGTCCACATGCAGAAAAACCCCGAAAACAACAACAACAACAAAAACATTCTTTTATCAATCCCTAAAGATTTGACCTATAAGCTACATATTGGCATGAAATACAGAACTACGCCATCTGTATCCATACCTAGTTTGGGCACAGGCTGTGTGTCCCAGAACTGGTAACTCCTCCGAGTGGCCTCCTCCATGGTTTTGGCTGGACCTTGGCCAACAGAGAACAGTTCAATGGCCTTTTGGATCTCCTGTAGCTTATCAGCTGGCAACGAATTCACCTGTTTGGGAAGTAAACACAAATATACATCAAACAAGACAACAAACAGAAGTCGATCCTATCTAAACAGTCTCTAACCATTCTGTATCTAAACTGTGATTTTAGTAGTTTACACCTTAACTGGACTGTTTCTCCTTTCCTTTTAGTTTAAGTTTATAACCCATTAAGACAGAAATGCATAAATTCATGCCTTGGCAAGGGGGTCCTGAGCTGCTTCTGTGGCACCAGATTTCTTCTTCTTTTTTTGCTTCCTTTTCTTCTTCTTGGCGCCAGTGTCGTCCCCAAGACCCCTCTCACTGGAACAGGACAGAAATAGATGGCATCCTTTTTAAGACTGATCTCAGAAGAAAAGAAAATCATGGTGGAAATTTATTTTCTGCAATCTGCTTTTAAACAACAGCCAAGCTTATTAAACCACCGACACTTCCAACACAATTTACATTTCATTGCTGATGCAAAGCCTTGTTAGCCGAGGAGTAGCTGTGTGTTTAAACTAACAACAACAAGAGGTGTAGCTCTAGGGCAGCTAAAGACAATAAAACCAGTCCTTCAGCTAAAACATACAGAAAATCCCAAGTTGTTTGCGGGATGTTTAGAAGTGAGTGCAGATTTTCAGAATAACCCTCTCTTCTGATCTGCTCCAACCAGAAAAGCCACATATCTCCAGCCAGCTACTTCATCTTCTGGCAACATACTTACACAGGATAATCTCATTAGTGTCCAAGAGGGGAGAAATGCAGGCCAGTACGCGGCCTGTATTTAAAACACCAGCACAGATGGTGAATCAGATGACATCTAGAAGAAGAGTATCTGTGCGTGTGTGTTTATGTACTGTATGTGCCCAGCAAGTGACTGGAACAATGGACAACAAAACATTCAATGGTTTGTTCTCCCACTTTCCATTTCAACAGGGTAGAGCAGTTAAGGGGCCAAACAATTGTTTCTGAGTGCAGGAAGGTTCAAAGACCTGCAGGGGAATGTGTTTCACTTTAGCTAGGGTGACCAACCGACCTCTTTTCCCCGGACATGTCCACTTTTCACGTTCTGTCCGGGGCGATTTTCGAGATTGATAAAAAAGGCCGGGTTTTCCTATATTCCAACAGAGGACCCATGTGTGTGACATCATCCCCAAACTGCTGCTTTGTGAGTTGTTCTGTGCTCACAGACGGGACTGACAGCGTACAGAAACTGTTTAAAAGATCCCAAAGCGCAAGTGCATCTTTTTAGACGAACTGCAAAAGAAATTTCACTCGTACCGACCCAGTACTGGTAATTTTTCCTTATGCAGATGAGGCATTATTTCTGTACCATTATTTAATTCAGGGGCTTTTAAGGGTTTTTTTGCACTTGTTGACTTGTAAAAGCCTATATGACATAGTTTACAATTCACAATCCATTAACTGCACAGAGAAGGCATCTTTTAAATACGTTTCTTTAAGCAAGTTCTTCATGACTGAGCCAAGTGTCCTCTTTTTTGGAAATCAAAATATGGTCACCCTACTTTAGCCATACAGCAACGTGGGTTTGAGGTAGAATTCTGCAAGATTAGGTTTATTTTTTCTCAGATTTGATCTTTATTCGCTTCTTTGTGTCTCTAAAAACGGAAACGCGTGGCTGTGGGGTCAGATTTCCTCCAGTTAGTGATCAGATGTTTGCGAAAACTACCTTACAGAGACGCATTCTTATTCCACTTGTTCTACTAAAAACAAAGGTCAGCTGCTTTGCGGACACGCCGTTTCATATGTGACACCACTTCTCTCTTTAAAAAAAAATACAATAAGGAAAAACAAGGGTTTCTATCAAAGCTTGTACTGAGTAAGAGCAACCGAGCTAGGCTGCTTTAAGATCGTGAACAATTCTGTGGCTAAAGAGGGAATTCAAAGCCCTCACTTCACAACACCGGGACCCAGGTATATTATGTTTAAGCTGAGTGCTTTTTGCATGCACGTTTGTGCTTGTTTCACTTTTGATCTTGCACCGAATCCACACACACACAGACAATGCCAGGTACGCTAGCATGCAAGCTAATACGCTACATGTCAGCTGGCGTAAACGTGATTTGCATCCTTTACCGTCAACACAGCAACGGCATGCGAAGAACACCGGAAACTATCAATTTAATTAAAAGTTTATTTTTTTCTCCAAGTTTTATGAGTAACAGAAACATGCGTCTTGGTGTAAAATTGGCTTCTAAACGCACTTTGCGTTCTCCTTTCTAACCATATACTTAGGAAAACGGTAAGTCCAGCCTATATTTGGAAAAGACATCCTTCTCAGCCAATCGGATGAAAGAACAAGCAAGCGAACGTTGCTACTAACCAATAGGATGAAAGAAAATGGGCTGGACAACGTCGAAGGATGGCCGTCTATCCCGACTGCTCACCGAGGTTTAGTTTAAGTTAATTTTGTTAAAATCTCCAGAGCCGTGACGTATTTTACGCCACCGACCGAGTAAGCCTGCCTCCTTACCCATCGTCAAAGTGGTGCTCTTCATTTTCACAGTCGCTGCAGTGTGCGTGATCCTCTACATCTTCTTTCTCCGGCATCGGTGCTGTCTCATTCTCATCCGCCATCTTCAACCAGGAAGTGAGACTCCACCGCGTGCCCCTTGACACCTTTAAAAGAGTCCCGACGCTATTGGCTGAAACGTGCAGTGGAGGCGTAGCCATGGCCGTGTTTTTTTACCCGATCATTTCCAAATATTTACGATAAACAGAAGGCTCGTAATGGAGCGGGTACGGTTTGTCGTTTTAAAGCGTCCCTTTTTAAGTTCTCACAGCCCCAGCAAAAATAGATTTTTTGTGTATTTAATATATTTTTCCCTCTAAAGACAAACAGCCATGTGGCGCCCATACAACCCAAAGGCAAATGAAATCACTTGAGTGGAAACACGTGTAAGATGGTGAATCTTGCAAGATAATCTGAGGCCTAATAAGTTAATATTACAGCAGGGTGAGTAAGAAGGCAAAGTCATGCTCAGATTTAGGTGGATTATTTAATGAGACCAACTGAGCAGATTAAGCATTGTGGCGTTGATATTTCTTATTTGAAAGTCAGTTAAAAGGCACTAACAGTTAGGTAAAAATGTACATTAGCTGTTCTTTTACGTAGTGTGCGTATTGATTAGCGCCTCCAAAGCAGCCAAAACCTTTTAGGCCCACATCTTATTTATTTTCATAATAAATAAACGCTGATAGGAGCATTGAAGAACCCAGTTTTTGCATAAAGTAAGCTAACATGATATTCTTCTATTGACGTTTTGCATGAATACATTAAAAGTAGTGACACGGTGTTTAACAATAATTACTACAGCAATGGAGCTACAGCTACGGCAACAACACTTGGACAAAATACCCACAGAGTTGCAACATACACAGTATAAGAAATCTTGGCAGTCATATGAGACGATAACATGATTATATTTGCTAATGATTATTTCAGAGAGCCGTGTGTGATTACTTTTTGTTAGCAATGCAACATTTTGACCTAAATATCAACAGGGACTATATTAATATATTTGAGGTGTGTTTTTGAACTATTTCTGCTGATGTTAAAAACATGTCTGTGATGATTTTAGCGTTAACTTTAGACTTTTTAGCAACATATTTCTTGAAGGGGGAAAACTACTAATACTGACCTCCTCATTTTTCTGTCATTGTGGTGTTGCTGACTGACATTCACAACCCACTGTGTGTGTGTTTGTATTTAATTAAGTTTACCACAAAATATTCAGTGGGTGGATTAACTCATAATTCATGGAGATGCTCGGAAACAAAAGAAGTCCAGTTGTTGGAGAAACTGCTGCCATGCTGTGTAATGTGAAATGTCATAAATATTGCTAAGAGTTTTCATTTTTTTTTTGTCTTTATTTTGGCCTAATCAGGCAGGGACATATCCATTGATAGTTCTAATGTTGGAATGTAAAGATTTATCATGTTTTAGGCTGACAGCTTTTGAGTACCACAGAAAAGTCAGACAAAAATTCACAGATTAGAACCTTCTGGTTATGCATTTATTAAAGTATCAGGTGTCCACACACAACACTGTGGACTTTTGAAACTAAAACAGACACTTTTTTTGACAGCATGTGAAAAAAAATTGTTAGAAGTGCTTTATAAAAACATTTTTCTTGCAAACATAACCACTCAAACGCATCCCACAGCTTCTATATTAAACATTAAGAGAGCAAAGTTTTACTTCACCCACTATTAAATACATATTACATTCTTCTCAAAAACCAGCGTGACCATTAAAACTGTAATTACAGTAATTACTTTTCATCGCTGGACTATTTTATTATCAGTGAACCTCCTTATAAGAGTATTAAAAGATTCACTGTAGCCTGGAGTGATTAGTGGTTGTATTAGATTGATGCAATTAGTTTTTAACAGCATTTTTTTCTAGATCTGAATACGAAGACAAGAGTTGACAAAATGAAAGAAGCTTATATGGAAATACTGTATCGTTAAAAGTCAAATATGATTTTAAACAAGCACATTTGAACATATGTGAAATGATGCTAAGATAAAATAGAACACATTTAAGAAAAAAGCTTATCTTTGCAAGTTAAGCCTGTCATGTTCTGCTGGAAGATGTGAGAATATGTTAGAATTTGTCTTCCAGACAGAATTTAAAAAAGTGCCCAGATATCTGGAGTATCAAGTACTTGTACCTGGGCAGCATGGGCCATGGCGCCCTGGGGCACTCACTAACACAAAATTAAATCTGTATTACAGCACAGTTAATGGTACCAATAATAACATCTAAAACACTGATGTTTATGTATATTGTCAAACACAGTTAGTTACACTTGGTTTACATCTCATTGCAATTTTGTTATAGCATCAATTTAAGAAGTGCTATTTTACTTAAGCGATCATTATTCTTCAAGTTAAAAAAAACATGTTAAAAAATAAAACGATGACATAAAATAAATGATCTTCATTCTCTCTAACAGTCCCTTTTTCTGCATTTTTTTTTTGTTATGAATTACAGTCACCAGAGGGCATGTGTCCATCTCTGACAGACACCTTTCTTCAAGCACTGGGAAGTGGTTTTGTGCAAACTGGACCACTTGGGGTCTGAACTGTAAGACAACGGCAGCATTCTGTCTCTGTCTGTTTACACTCGGAGCTCCTCCTTCCAAGGTCCTTCATTGTCCAGATATCTGATTGTCTTGTTCAGATGTGTGTCACGCTTTGCCTTTGGCAGCGGCAATACGCTCAGCCATAGTTTTGACAGGAACACCTCTGCGAGTCACTTTGACATGGATAAAGAGTGTAGCAGGAGAAAGGCTAGAACCATCTGCCTTCAGTAAGTGAATATGTCGATAACCTGGGTGGGAGGAAGAAACAAAAAAACAAAAGAGTATGACACATATTAAAAAGAACATCCGAGAGTGAAGAACTGGTAGACGACTGACTTGTAGACTAAATCTTAATAAGCACCTATGCGAAAGCTTGTAAAAGGTAAAGTGAACTGCCCCACAAAGTCATTTTTGGCAGCATGATCGTGGTCCTCCACTACAAACCGCACCAGGGCCAGCTCAGGGACCTGCAGCTGGAAGCTCAGAGTACAGTCCCAGCGAGGGTTGAAACCTGCAGAGGGCGCACAAGAGCTGTAAATACACCATCTGGTGCATTAAACCTTTCAAACAAACTAATCATGGCATTGGATTGAAAAGACTCCTACACAAGTATATATTCCAAGATTTGAATAAAGAAGCTTTCTGACATCATCTCTTGTCTCCTGTCACTGCATTATAAAAGTAACACTGATTTACAGAAATGCCTGCATTGAATTTAAATATACATAGATAACAAAGATATTATCACTCTGCAAAAAAAAAAAAAATACATATGAAAATGTATTTTTTAAAATTTTATTGTTGTGGATAAAAAAACAAAAAAATAAATATTACCATTGTTGTCAATGCGGTGGGTTTTTTGTTTTGCTTTATCAATAGCCACCCCATGAATTTCCACCCACACTAGTGGGTCCACAATGGAGCTCGCCTTCTCTGTGTTGATTTTTGGCAGCTGTTGTGCAGATATTATCTGAAAAAGCAAAACATAATTCATCATTGTGTGCATGAAATTATCATTAGAAATGTATAAAAAAGTCTATTGGAGGCAACTTTTTTGCAAAATCCGACAATCTGGATAGCACACAATAGCTCTATGTTTAGACTCTAGTTTAGACATAAGGGAACTCTTCCAGAGGAACAGCAGAGGATGGCCTCTCCTCTATGAAAAAAATTGAAGTATGGACAGTAATAACAAGAACTAAATGACACTATGAAAAATAAACTTGCCACAAAAAGGAAGGAAACTTCCTTTTTCGTCTAACAATACTTCTTAGCAATAAATCCTATAACATTGGAAAGTCTCTTTATTTGTCTATAACTCCTCATGTTGGTGACCAGCTTGGTCGCACATTGCTGTGGGATGGGATGACATTTTTCAACCAGCATTTACTGCTGTTAAACTACCAATATGTCTTGTTTCTTCAGAATTCAATTATCCAATCCAACAAATGACACCAAACAAGAGTTATTAACAGAATAAGCTGTTTGGCGTTGGCAGAGAAGGTTTGGCAAGTTTTTCATGAGTGCAACCCACATTCTCAACACTACTGCTCAACCCACAAATGCATTTTCCTTACAAATGTGGTATCCTTCCAGTGGTATATAAGATTTATTACCAAGAAGTATTGTTACCACAAAGAAATAGTCAACCAAACACTAATTTCCTTACTTTTTATGTTAAGTTTAGAAGAGCGGTACAGAAATCTTACTATAACATCTATCTCCTCCTTAACAGGTAGGCACATCTGAACGAAACTTTGGAAAAACGTCATCACATATATTGTGGTTATTAAAATCTATATGCTTTAAAAAAAATATTCATGATGAATTTAAATTCTTTGGATTTTTGTGTATCTATCTATCTATCTATCTATCTAAAATGTTCCTTTCCCCCTGTAAATGTGAGCCTTAGTAACAGTTACTCACTCGTATAGTCAGCTGAGTTGGGGTATGACCGGGGCCTCCTCCCGTGTTTTCTGGGTTAAAGTTGGATGTGGGACTGCAAAGGAAGCTGGGTTTGAGGATGTATCCACAGCGACCATTTGCGAGGAAGCGGCCCTGGTTCAGGTCCATTTGCTCCCCAGCCGTCTGGAAGTTTAGAGCCACTTAACGGCAGAAAGAGGAAAGTGGAGGGACACGGGATTAAATTAACGGAATCAGAGATGTCAGCAGGTTACATGTGACATGACAGTAAGTTTACAGAAATAAAACACGTCTCTGGGTTTTTAAAAAAACATTTTTTTTGATTCCATCTGAACAGCAGCGTAGCTTTCAGTGTGGAGTACCAACCCAGCTGGCATCCACAGTTCCACATTTCCTGAGGATCATAGTTGGATGATTGAAGGCGCTGGCCACAAGGGTAGATCCGGCTCAGCTGCCTGCTGTTGTGTCTTACAAAAAGCTTCCCTGTAAATGAAAAGACAGAAAACCACAAGCCATGATACGTTGAGGGCTAATTATATTTTCTGTAGAACCAGCTGCACAAAAGACACGATGCTGG